TCCAGCTGGTGTTTGCTAAGGGTCCCTCCTGACCATCCTGTGCCCTGGAAAAGTAGCAATAGCAGCTCCACCTGTTCTTAGAGCCCCCCCTCCAGCTGGAGAAGGCACCAGGGGACAGGAAGACCCTTCTCTGGTGTTAACGCCTTAATGTCCTTGTCTTTTATTATGAGTTCCTTCAGCTAATTTTTTGGAAGTAGGTGTGGTACAGTCATAAGTAAATGAGGGCTTGGGAGGAAAAGTGGACCAGCTGGATGCCTTTGGGAGAACCTGCTGGCCTTGTTAGGCAGCGCTTGGGTCTTTTCCAGCACCAGGAGGCAAAGCAGAGCTGAGCTGCTCTAACCTGTCCCACTCCGTCCCTTTGCTTCCTGCTGCCCCTGCACAGGCACCCAGATTTGGAGAGATCTACTTGCTATTAGTGCTCGGCTTGTCCCCTTCCTCCCTGAGATCAACTCTCCAGGGCATTTCCCCTTTGGTCTACTTGCTTTATCCACCAGCACTTAGAGCATCCCCTGCCTATCAGTGGTGCTTGTCCAGGCTTTTTTCTGAACCCCCAACCCACCTCCTCCACTCCTTCAAGAAGTCAACATGTGGAAAGGCCTGCCCCATTGATAATGGAGGGTCAGGTGACAGATGATAGGGCGAGTTCCCTTTTCAATATTTCTAGCATATGGATGCCCAGCCTCTGCTTGAACACTTAGGTGACAGGGAGTCCCCACTTTCTGAGGGTCTGGTTCTATTATAGGACAATTCTAATTGTTAGAAATTCTTCCTTATAATGAATGAAATCTGCTTTCCTGTAATTTCTACCTGTAGGGCCTTGTTCTGTTCTCTAATTAAATGGAACAATAACTTATCCTCCTTTTCAAGCTAGAGAATAAAGATTTGGTTTTAGAGTCAGTGTCTGAGTTCCTTTCTCCTGGGGGACTGTGGAATTTGGGTGACAAGCAATACACTATTCTCTGGGAAAGGGAGGGTTTGAGGGGGCTGTGGGGGCTGAATAACAGGCCAAGTGCACTGACCTGATGAGTTCCAATGCACCCTACCTCCATTTCTTCCCTGGGGAGGCCAGGCACTCAGCAAATGGGGCTAGTTTTCTAGGGGTTCAGACTAGGGTCAAGCCAGATTTGTTGGGTGATAGTTATCAGGAGGAAAAGGCCTGGTTTGATCCTGCCTGCAGTGCCTTCCTGGCTAGCCTGCTACAGTTCCCCACATCTGTTACTATGTATGCTTCCCTGCCAATCTGCCTGTTATTAATAGGCCCTTTTCCTGCAAGTCTCAGTAATCTCTGCTAGATCCTCAGCACCTAGCACAGAGTCTGAGTCATAATAACTACAGTTTGTGAGGGGCACTTGCAAAGAAGTTCTTTGCATTACCTCACATAGTCCTTGGGTGGTAGGTACTCTTTTACAGATGAAGACGTGTTCAAGGTGGTAAAAGTGGTAATCACCAGAGGTGATTCAAACTCAGGTCGGTCTGACTCCTAGAATCTGCTCTTGACCACTGCTGCATCTCTGCTGGATGAATGGAGTGTGCTGCTGCTTTGGAGGAAGGTAATTACTAAATGACGACTGTGTGCTTGATACGGATAGGGATGAAAACCAGGGGTTGACAAAAATAAGACCCGGGTCTTTACCCCTAAGAGCTTGCCTAAGTCTGGAGAGGACATATATATGTATACAAATAATGAGTGAGATGGATGGTGGTGTGTTGTGCTCCAAGTATGCAGGATGGAAGCATAGTAATCTCTGCTAGATCCTCAGCACCTAGCAGAGTCTGGGTCATCATAATAACTATAATTTATGTGAGGGGCACCTTGCAAAGTGGTAATCACCAGAGGTGATTCAAACTCAGGTCGGTCTGACTCCTAGAATCTGCTCTTGACCACTGCTGCATCTGCTGGATGCAGTTCTCATTGGTTTATGGTTTATGGGATTATGGGGCCACTTAAAACCTCAGTAACTGATGGCTAAGAGCCTGGAGGTGTTATCTCAAGAAAGCTTCACTTAAATATGTCTCTTTCAGGAATTCCAGGGCTTCAAGGAAATGGAAGCAATCCTTTTTTAAGGGGTTGGCCAGGAAAGTAGGTAAATGGTCATGACGGGTATAGAGCAGGAGACAGGATGATGGAGACAGGAGACTGGGGATGATGGGGAGAGCAGAAGAGAGGTCATCAGGCATCTGGATTTAGAATTGGGGGCTTGGGGGAAAGTTTGAGGGAGAGGGAATCTGACCAGGGGTCCTGACTTTTAAAAAAATCATTACCTTTAATGGAAATGCATGGTGTGTGGGAGGGCGGGCATTGAGTGTCCTCTAGTGCTGTGCTGCTAGTGCTTTTGGTAGAGATGGTGAGGAGAGGTCCACACCTTAGGGGAAGCCACAGAAGTGGCCTTGAGGGGCTGGCAAAGCTGGGACAGAGTGAATTTGCCTGTGGTCCTTCCTGGGTCCCTCAGGGGCCCGGTGGTTCCCAAGTCCTTCCTCAGCATGCCACATGCTGACAGTCTTGAAGGAGGAACTGCCCGGGCTGGAAGGTACAGCACTCTGCTAATCGGAGCTACCCTTCTATGCTGAAGAATCCAGGGTTTTTAAAATTTCTTTTTTCTTCTATGATGATAAAACCATTAAATTATCTTGTCAAAATTAAACATTTTTAGATTTTTCTAAACATGGAAGTCCTTCATTTCTCCCACCTACTATGTTTTCTTTCCATCATGTAAAGAGTTTGAGGATATCCTAGACATTTTTCCTTGTGCACTTGCAAACATACATATGTAACTATTATTTTTTTGCTGAGCAGAAATAGGATCCCAGATCTATTTTTTCCTGTCTTCATTCTTCTGCTTCATTCTTTGTCCTTGAAATACCCTTGGTCATGAAATGTCAATCTAGAGAAAGTCTCACTCTGCAGAGGAGGAAACAGGCCCAGAGAGTGGAAGTAGCTTTCTCACTTCTAGCCAGAGGCAGATTTGGAGTTAGAATACTAGAATTCCACTAGCCTTTGTTGAATCTCGAGAAGTTGTAGAAAATAGAGATGGGTGAGACCTTTTTTAAAGAGTTGATGGCCTAGTGGTGTAAGGTCTCTGTATAGGGTTGTGTATTTCACAAAAGCTTTAGACAACAGAACCAATTTGGTTCTTGCAAAAATCCAGTGAGTATATAACCAATAAATTGTTAACTCTTTTACAGATGACTAAATCAAAGTCCAGGGACAGAACAGTATCTTTTGTAAAAACCGTACATGAAGTTAGTGGCAAAACTGACAGAATCTTGGTGCCCCAGTATCTACTGTGTTAGGAGGCTAAACAGCAGCTGAGTGCATGACATATGTTCAGTTTGCAGCTGTTGACTGATTATTCAGAATGAGGGCCACCAGTTTAACAGTAAGGTTTGTAGGAAGTCTCAGATGCCGGCTTCTGTTATTAACCTCATGTGCCAAAGGTGGTTTCTAAGCAGCTCAGGAAAGAATCCTGCCCCTGGGAGTTGACCTAGCTGCTCCCCTTTGAGGTAGCAATGTGAGGAATTTTATTGACTTAAATGGAGCATTTTCTTCCAGTCACGGAGGGTAAAAGGGAAAATACTCTTTTCCGATGGTCTCTGGGAACAGAAGACCCTACTTGGCCATCTGGAACCCTTCCTCATAATCAGCAGTGACACTCGATCTGGGAATGTAAGTAACCTCCGCAGACCGCCGTTTCCTCAACGAGAAAGCGAGGGGGTTGAATTTAATGATGTCTATGCTTCCCGTGGAGACGCGGAGATCTATTAACATGTGCCCACGACATGCCGAGGGCCGCGCGTGGTGCGGAGGGCGATTTCTTTCCTGCCGCACGAGACACGTAAACCTAACACGTGGTGTGCTGTAGTGCCAAGTGTCACCACCATATCACTGTGAGCGCGGAGCGGGGTTCGTGCGTCTTGTTTCCCGGTTCCTGGTACAAAGAGCGGTGCGGCGTGTCACAGCGTCGGACGGATAGTTGCCGAGTGTCTCGATCCATTCCAGAGGCGCGTCTGCGGGGTCTGGCGAGGAGGAGCAGGTGCTGAAGAGCTATCCGGTCACCAGCAGCCCGGCCGCGCCCTCACCCCTCCTACCGTTAGGGTTTGGGACACAGCCCCGCACCGCGGCCAGCGAGTTTTCGCCGTCCGGGCCCAGCGCAGCCCGGCTGGAGGCGAGGTTAGCCTGCCCATCCCGGCTATTGGCTCATAAGAACAAAGGGGCCGCCCCGCGGGCTTCTCTGATAGGGCCGAGCTGGTCATCTGAGCGACACAGCCAATCATACGGCGGGGTGGCCAGGCCAGCCAGCCAATCAGGGGAGCGCCACGCCCCGCCTGCCCCAGGACTGGCGGGGCCGGGAAGCCCAGAGCCCAAGTCGCCCCGGAGTGGCAGTTCCCGTTAACCTTAGCCTCAAAGTCAAGGTATTTATTCCCGTCCCTTTCCTCCGAGTCCCTCAGAATCCTGGGGGGAGGGGCGCGCGGAGGGATGGACCGTGCTTTGGGGCCAGCTGCTCCCGCGCTGCCTCCACGCCGCCTCGGGCTGGAGGCGGCCTGGAGGCCTGGGGGTCCGTTGAGCCCCTCGTGCTGCGGCCCTGAGCTTCCCCATCCCCCCACACAGCGCCTGGGAAAGGGGCCGGGGCCGTGCGTGGGAGGGGCTGCCGGCCAGTGGAGAGCAGGAGGGGCGGGGAGCGGGGGACTGCCCCCGGTACCTCGGCGCGCGCTTCTGCGGGTGCGCTTCCCGATGTCCGGGAGCTGTGTCAGCCTCGCGGAAGGACCGAGCTTCTGGAGGCAGAACCCCAGTGCTCGCCCCAGAGTGACACATAGTAGGTGCTTAATAAAGCATTGAGTAGGCGTAAGGATTGTGGGGGGGGGGGGTAACAATGAGAGGGAAGCACCAAAGACCCTGGAAGTGTGACTCCCTGAAACCTCCGTTCCAGGAAAATGGGCACAGGAGCCCAGCTCTCAGTGGGGCTGGGGTGGGTCGTGGGGGAGTCTTCCCTGCAAAGGTGGGTATGGAGAAGCTGCCGCTCCAGCCCTTTGGGCGTATGGAGTCTGGAGTGTGTCCTGGTCAGACAGACCTGGGGTTGGGTGTGGTCAGAGTCGCGGAGGTGAGGCCAGAGATGTCCAGTCCCCCTGGGTTTTTTTGGGTCCCTGTGTTCAACTGTAAAATGAAGAGATTAGAGTGTATTCATCTCTTTCAACTCTTCAGGTTCCACGATTCTGTGCTTCTAATCCGTTTTGAACTTGCATTTCTTTTATTTAAATGTTCCTTTATTTAAGTTTTTATTAATTGTTTACAGCAAGTGGGACCCTGTGCTGAGTGTTGGTGAGAGAGAAACACTCCCTGTGCTAAGATGTTATCATCTTGTTGTGGAGACAAATTATTGTTACACCATGTAGATGGCGGACAGGTTAAACAGGGAAGGGCCATGTGTGAGCCTGGCATGTCCAAAAAGGCTCCCTGTTCAAAGCAACCCCTGCTCTGGGCTGGGCAGAGGAGAGTTGGGTGAGCGTGTCCCAAGACCCATCCCAAGCATGTGGAGACATGGTAAGATCGGGAGCTGCATGTTAGAACAATGGAGCAGCAGAGAGAGGTGAGCAGAGGCCAGATTTTAAATGGTGTTGCCAAGAAATTTCTAGCTGAATCTGAAAGTACTGGGGACCCATTGAAGTATCTTAAGCGAAGTAGTAATGTGTCCAAATTGTAATTTTAGGAAAAGTGCTTTGAATTCTGGTTGGTGAATGGATTGGAGGGGCAAGGTAAGCCATGAAACCAGTGTGGCCTCTGGGTGAGAAGTGGTGAGGCCTGGGCTAAGGTCTCAGCGGTAGACAAGCCTGGAGGTACTGAAAATGGCTCTGCGACCACTGAGTGACCTGTGGATTGTGAGGGTTGTGTTCTGTCGTAGCAAAAGTTGGTGGTGATTTTGAAAGACCTGATGAAGACCCACCGTCCTGCGGGAGAGGCAAGGCATGCCGAGAGCAGAGTGCGGAGCTTGGTGGGGCTGGTCTGGTCCATGTGCCCGCCTGCCCCCCACCCCCTCCCCATCAAAGATGAGGTCCAGCTCTCTTTGAGGCCAGGAATGTCACTTCTGGCTCTCACTTTCCTCATCTGACAAGGGGGAAATCCTCCTCACCCTTTCTAAGCGCCTTTGGATGCAGCAAGGGGTAGGGGAGTTTATAAATTAACACGTGATTCCTGTGGAAAGTGCTCTTAGCAGTTGGTTTCATCTCTGTCTTCGGATCAGGCAACAGGGGTCCCCAGGCCCAACAGGCTCCTGAGCCTCAGGTTTGGGGCTCAGGAATGTGGGTGCTGCTCTCTTCTCTAAAGGGGGGTGGGTTAGCAAAGACTGGGGAGGGGATGCCAGGGGTGTGGGACGGGAGTGGGAGCAGGGAGGCGGAGGCGGGATAGTCCCAGCAGAGGCGCGCTTATCAGGCAGGTGGAGGCAGACGTCCTTGCAGGCGGTGCCTCGGGGACGGGCCTGGGATCCGATGAGGGACCCCTAGGAGGTGGGCAGGCATGACCGGTCAAGGCCACCGACCTGGCTTCCAGGGAGTGCTGTGGAAGCACACTGAGGTCACTAAACCAAGCCGTTCCTACCAGGGCGACCCTGAGGTACAGTTCTTACGACAAGGGGAGCAGGCGGGGGCAATGATAAGGCAGGGATTCATCTTGCGCCTTGTGAACACTGCTCAGAGTCCTTTCAAACTGTTTTCTCCCCAGCTCGATAGAACAGTTCAACACACAGAAGCAGGTATTATTATTATTTCTAAATAATAATTTAGTGATTTCTGTGGGATGGTGGCCTGCCCTCTCCCCTTGCTTCCCACCTCTGTCCCCTCTCCTGGGACTGAAGAGTCCAGTGCTTGGGAGACAGGTCTGAAGACGCTGGAGTAAAAGGGGAAGGGCAGGGCCTGGGTCAAGGACCTGTGCCAGTGGGGTGCATAGGAGGATGGGAGAGGAAGATGGGGGGTGGCGCTGGAGGGGCTGCAGAGGCTTGTGGGAGGCGTGGAAGGATGCTGGGCACCTGGGGTGTGGGATGGAGCAGGCCTCTCAGGGTGGGAGGTGACAGTCGCCTGGTCTGCACAGGACCTCTGGGCCTGCTGTCCGCCTGTGGGAAGCCAGTGTGGTTGGGCCCTGGCAGCAGCTGCCCTGTATTTCCCATACCATTTTAAAGCTGTCTGTTGTTTGTGTGTCCTCCTTGGTCATAAGCTCTGGATGAGAGGAAGTGTGAGGTCTGGTGAGGCTGGGGGCCTGATGACCAGAGAGAGAGAGAGAGAGCCAATTATCCAGAGGCCAGCCCCGAGGACTGCATTGTGCCAGAGAGTGGCCTTTGTAGGACTGGCCTTGGGGAGGACTTCATGGCTGTGGAGCTGGTCTTCTGAGACAGAGGCCATCCTCTGGCTCCCTGCCCCTAAAAAAGTCGAGGTGTGAGCTTCGGGCTCACCTGGGCTGAGGCTTTGGGCCTCAGACCAGCAGAAGTGTCCAAGACTTCTGGTCCAGACCCCTACCTGGGGCTCAGTCCCCCAGCCCTGCTTTCCTTATCATGTCCATACAGCCTCCCACCTCCACCCTTTAGGCCCTGTGCCCAGCCCAGAGGAGCCTCTCCTCTCTGCCAGGCCTCCACAGGGCCACGAAGGGTCCAATGAGCTGTCGTACCTGTACCTGGAACTGTGCTGCTTAGCACACACAGTACACACTACCCACACCCTCTTCCTCTTTGAGAGGCCAGCTCACATTGGGGAGCGGAGCCTGGCGTTAGTATGTGGGCTCTGGGAGCCTGCACAGATGCTGAAGGGGTGAAGGTTTAGGGACAGTGAGCCAGCAGTGGGGTGTGTGGAGAGGGTTTAGGACGTGCAGGTGTGGCTGGTTCTCAGGCAGTGGTCAACGGGAGCGGAGAGGCACTGCCCTTTGCAGGCTTCGGTAGGGCTGTGTCTCTGCAGACCCACTCAGCTGATGCACCTAATAAATGAGCAGAGCAGATCTTTTCAGTCTTCTTCAAGGTGGGAATCTGAGGCCTAGAGGTGAGGTGATTGCCAAGGACAGCTCGGCTCCTAATTGGCAGTCCGGTGTGCATGGGACTGCTGTATGGGGCTGCGGTCCTGGTGGGGCAGCCTCGGGAGTGGACATCAGGGAGCAGCCTGGAGGCCCAGGCTCTTGGGAAGGACCTGCTGCCTCCCCCTGGGCTAGACATCTCTGGATGTGCTGTGTGGCCATTAGTGTTTACATCAGTTTCTTCTCATATGCCTATGACTGTATATTGTAAATGAAAACATCCACTGATGTTAACTGGAACTGGTTTCCTAGCAGAGAACACCATTGTCTTGTCCTGAGGTATCTGTTGTTAGTGACCAAGGACGGGGGCTGGAGGAGCCCTCTCTCCAGTCCTCCATTTGTTTCATTCATTCAGTATACAGGCAGACCTCAGAGATAGACGGGTTCTGTTTTGGACCACCGCAGTAAAGCCAGTCTTTCAAGAAAGTGAGACAAATAACTTTTTGGTTTTCTGGTACATGTAAGTTATGTTTACACTACACGGTAGTCTGTTAAGTGTGCAAGAGCATTGTCTGAAAAAACTGTACATACCTTAATTAAAAATACTTCATTGCTAAAAAAGGCTATCCATCATCTGAGCTTTTAAAGTCATAAGCACTGATCACAGATCACTGTAACGAATATAATAATGAAAAATTTGGAATATTGAGAAACTTGCCAAAATGTGACACAGACATGCAGTGAGCAGATATCGTTGGAAAAATGGTGCTGATAGACTTGCTTCGTGCAGTATTGCCACAGACCTTCAATTTGTAAAAAAATGTAGTTATCTGCGAATTGAGCCCTTCTGCACATTGGCTGGTTGGGGCCAGGCCCCTGCCTTCTGGGAGCCGCAGTCTAGTGCAGCACCGCCCTGTAGAACTTCATGAGTGTGGCAGTGTTCTCTGCTGTCCATTATTGTAGCTTTAGCCACACGTGGCTGTTGAACACTTGAAATATGGCTGTGTGATTGAGGAACTGAGTTTTTTATTTAATTTGTATAAATTTAAGTAACCACATGTGCCTATAGAAGCCAAACTCTNGTGTGACCTTGAGCAAACCCTGAACTTCTCGGAGCTGTAGTTTGTTCCTCAGCTGTAAGTGGTTGTGAAAGATTAAATGGGCGATGCTTGGCTGAGCAGAGGTGGCTCTCTCCCTCTCCTTACTGGAATCTTGGCTGCCCATCCCCTCTTTTTATAGCCAGGTCAACTCGAGGTGTTCAGGGAAGCCCCCACTCCCCGCAGTGAATGAGGGTGGGAGGCAGGAGCCTGCGGCAGGAGCGCCCGGAGTGCGCCTGTGCCCCTGGCCACCCTTCGGATGCCGTGCTGGGCCACAGTGCAGAGCCCTGCTCCCGGGGGCTGACCTGTGCGAGCTGGCACGGCGGGCAAGGGCAAGACAAGGAGAGGCCCATGTCTGCCCGCAGGGGAAGTGGCACTACTGAGCAGTGAGTTCTGGAGAGGCCCAGGCACGCTGGAGCGTGGGAGGTGGGAGGCGGGCGGGCAGCCATGCCTGGAGGACCAGGCGGGGTTCCAGGGCTGAGGGTTGGGAGGGGCAGGCCGTTTGGGAAGCATGGCAGCCCCGCTAGTGTGATGGAGCCCAGGGGCAGGGGGAGCAGTCAGATTGATTGACATGGAGGGGGTACCTGCTTTCAGATTCTTGTCAGGGCAGGCATTGTTGGTATTGGGAGGCATGGGTTGATGTGGGGGCAGGGGTTGGTATGGGGGCAGGGGCAGATGCTGAGGATCTGGGGGGGGTTCATGGCTAAGAAGTGCCTGGGAGCTGGGCCTTTGGGGAGATGCCACCCTTTCATGTCTCATTTCCTGGGGGAGGGTGTGTGACCCCAGGCCACTAGTGACAAAGGACACATGAGTCACCATCTACTTCTCCACTTGGGGCCTGAGTCTGTCAAAAGGATGTGCTGGCTAGTGGGAAAGTTGCAGAGGCCTGAGATTGGATGCCAGGAGACCTGGATGTGGCCTTTCTCTTTACCCCAGCTGCTGTCCACCACCCTTCTCGCCCTCAAGTTTCTGCCAAGACCAAAGTTCCTTTGTTACCTCGCCCTGCCCCCGGACCTCACCACCTGCCGCAGGCCACAGTCCCTGCTTTGTGTGCTCTGGCAGTTGTCATGGCAGCTGCTCCAGTGGAGGTCTTCCTGTTGAGGGAGCTGTCATCGCAAAGGCAGCCTGACCGATCTGGGCAGGCCAGGCCCAAAGCCAGATGCCGGTAGGGGGAGGTGACCAGGGCCTTGTCCTCCGCATGTGTCCTTCCCTCCACAGAACTTCCGGGCAGAGAGGGAAATGGTCGTTGGAGACTGGGGTCAGGGCCCTGCATGACAGGCCAAGCCACCTTCAGAGACCGGAGTGGGCACTGTCAGGGGTGATGGATTGGCCCCCATTGCCGCCTGTTTTCTGGCCGGGGCATTGTGCCTGGCAGCCATCTTATCAGAGGCTGAGCTTCTCCCAGGTCAGCTGAGTGATGTGTTAGGTGGACTGAGTGGGTGTTGAGAAGGGACATGCCATGTGACAGAGCAGGGGAGCAGGCACAATAAGAGAAGGGTAGAAAAGGCTCAGTTGGGGTGTGCCTGCTGGCTGGCTGACCTGGAGAGACATGGCTGCAGGCAGTTTCCACTGCAGACACTTTCCACCTGAGCACATGGGTGGAGGTGGACCCTGAAACGTGGCCCACTGCCCCTGTTCCTGTCCTCTGAGCCTTGCCTCCTGTCCCCTCC